TCCCCCACCTATGCAGTCCTCAACCAGCCAGCATTATTTGCTTTATAAAAATGAATCTACTAATTCTTTCTGTTGCAGCACTCTTTCTGCAAAATATTGATTGTAAGTGCTATACCACTTAGAGTATGCACTATTGACTCAGACAAAGGAAAAAAAACAAAACCCAAAACAAACAAAAAACCCCCAACAGAATAAAAAAAAGTAGATAGCACTATTCGGAAGTAGAAAAACTGAATCCAAGAAAAGTCACGTTCAGACAACTGTTATTCTCTGGGTCCAGTCTGAAAGTCTGGAAAACGATGCATTAAAATTGAACATTCACACAACTATGTCAAGTAACACTGTACTAGTTAACCAACATTTAGAATGTAAATTCTTTCTAAACATCATCTTGAAATACCCTATTTATCTTCAAATTCTTTCTAAAAACCAAGGCAAAATAAGAGGTTAAAAGGAATAAAATTAAAAAAACCCTAACAAGATATTTAATCAAATCGTACTAAACATTTATATATTTACAGAAAAACTAGTTAGTAGTAATGCTTTGAACAACACTGCTTTGAACATGCCATGGAACAAAGGTTTTGCAGGGCATAGCTCTCTTTATCCCTTTCTCAAATGCAATCCAAATATCATTCGGGGTGCCATAAAAATTTCACAGTGTTATGCCTGTGCTCTTACATTAATGACTCTCTCTCTCTGTAGACTAAATATTAAATGGGAAGAAACAGTTAATGGGAAAGTTTACAAGTGTATGCACCCAACCTTTTTAAAAGTCAAATCACCATAAAAACATTTACGTCTGCTTTTCAGGTTGTATCTCCACTAGAGCAGGAAAAAATAATTTCTGCTGAGTCTGGGAAAATCTCAGCTTTACTGCATAATCTGTGCATTTTACATACAAAGACCATCTCTCTATTAATGACCACACATACAGAAACATTTTTGTCACTTTTTTAAAACAGAAAATCACATAGGAATGTTTTACCTCAATATCTGGCCTATTTTCAGGATTCTCCTCTTGCATTTGTTCCAGTAGAGTATGCAGATCTCGCCCAAATTCTGATTCTGTCTCAGGTTCTACTATATATTCTATTGCTGCTTTCAAAGTTGCACCCAAAGAATAGATGTGTGCCTGCATGAAGTTTTGAAAAAGGCATTAAATATGCTGCCAATTCTCTACCAGGTCTCAGGTCATAAGGGATACTGCTTACATTGCTTTAACTTTTAACTTACAAGATAACAGTTTACCGGAAAGGTAGTTGAATTTAAACAAAAAAAAGGAACAAAATCAGCTTCAGTCCTGCTTTGTTACAAACAAAAAAAATAACCCTGTGGAATCCATATAGAACCTTTTTTTTCTTCCTCACCAATAATCAGTACTACAATTGCTCATCGGCTACAGTTAAATATAAAACTGAGCCCTGTGTGCATGTGCAAGTAAGATTTAAATTAGAAGCATGCTGGGAGATTGAAATGGCATTCCTCTTAGCAGGGAAAAAAATATTAGTCTGACAAAGCTTTGTATATAGCAGTATTTTATAAGTACTATCGAGCATAAAGACAGTGAGCAGAAACAATATACTATAACATCCCTTGTCTCTGAAATCACTTATGAAAGTTTTGAGAAATATTCCATGTTTGCCACCTTTGCTTTTAAAGCTCACAGCCTTGGGAGGAGCTTAAATAACAACGAAGGCGAGCCAACAACTTTTTTAAAGCTAGTACTAATGCATTAAAATTGCTACACAACACAGCAATTTTCTGCTTCTGAAAAAAAAGACATTTTCAGATCTGCTTTAGTAGTAGTGGTAATTTATTCAGGATGGCCTGTATTTTATTCTTATGTTCCATTCAGAGAACACAATTCAGTAAAATTTATAACCAAGATAACTGTAAGTTTTTGTAAACATTCCAATGACAATGCAGTGCAGTCAGGACTTCAAGTGTACTGAACACTGTCTTCTCAGGTTTACAAATACACACATATAAATCAATGACCAGATTTGTACGTTATATTTGGTTGTGCTAATGCATTTGCTCTGTGCTTTGCTACTTTTCATCTCAGAAAGGAAACTGACTCTAAGGTCAAAAGTTATTTCCTGCCTCTATCCCATGCTATTTTTTCATTAAGGTGCATTGTCATCTCTAAACAATATGAAGGGAAGGAGAACTGCTCTGCAGGTAGGCAAATATATGAACTTTCCAGTGAGGCAGGGCACCTCTATGAAAGGGAGTGCAACACTACCTCATTGGGAAGTGCTCTGGGTGTGAGCAGGTAGCTTGGACAGTTCCACTTCTTTCTCCTTCTCCATTTCCCCCTTAAACCAAGGAAGCATAAACTAGTGCTGACTGCTGGATCTAAAGCCTTCATCTACCCTTGGGACACAGCAAGATTAGGACAAAGGTCTGAAAAACAAACCACGTCATCTGATTGAAAAAGATCAAAACATGTTTTTGCAAAGCAGTAATTTTCAGTCTCAAGTTCTTCACTCTTATGCAACTTCACCACTAAGCAGAAGAGGTAACTGAAGACTTTTGTTTTTCTTTCAAGAATTCCAGAGAAACTCTGTCGGGAATTGTTATGATTTTTATTTTGATTTAGCAGAAGAATGACGCTGTTCATCTATTCCAAGAATAAGGTTCCCCCTCCCCATGCCCTTCCCTTCATCACAGTGAGCTACTATAACCCAGTAAGTGGCAGCAGCCCTCCTAACAACACTGCTGACAGACTGGCATGACCTTTTTTCTTTTTTTGGTGTAAGATCAAACAGACCATCTTGCAAGAGGATACAAAACTATGAAACCTGAGCAAATAAATCACTCACAAGGTGATGAGAAGACAGTTATTTCTTCATACTTTCTAGAGTTACGACTACACCCACCCATACCTGCAGAAAATGAACTCCACTTCAGACTAATATAGCTACTCACAAAGGAAGCATTACTCCTATTAATAGATGCTTTAGAGAATGGTCATTTTACAGATTGTACAAGTTAACTTGCTATAAACTTGGTAGAAATTAACACCTTTCTAAGCACACTCAAGATGGAAAGTGTGAAAAGGTAACTTTCTGAAAAAACCCACAAATCTAGATTTATACTGAAGTATATTTCAAACTGTGGAAGAAATTTTAAAAAAATTCCTTCCCCAAGATCCACTAATTTATGAAGATTGTTTAAGGTTTTTGTTTGGAGACTGTTTCATAAGCTTTTGAACAGTGAAGAGAAAGTGTAGAGTGTAGCACTTATTCCTTTACTTTGCTATTAAACACTGTATCTTTAAGTTATGCCATTTTGCATTTCTCAATGGACAGCATAACAGAAAACTAAAGGCAAAAAAGAACAAAGAAACAAAGACAAACTCTTAGAAATATAATACAGTTCTATTTAAAGAACTTTCTAATAAAAGTAGTACTGTGGTAGATTAATATACTCAATATTAGTAAGTTTTCCCATTTATTTGATCTGCAAGAAGTTACATTACCTCTGTTTCACAAAATTATTATTAAAGAAATTAATCATTGCTCTAAGAACTGGAGAAAAAAAACTAATAATGTACAAGCTCCTGATATATGCCATGCAAACCGAGCAATGTCAGAATAGCAGATGAAATCATTCCATGCAGCGTGGAGACACTTTCAAATTCAGAAGGTACTTCTGAACACAACAACTATTTTCAGCCTCCTTATGTCACGCTTAACATCAGGAATGACTAGAAGAATTGCTTTATTAGGAGAATTTGGTTTTAGATTCTAACATCCACCAAGTAATTGGCACCAAGGTTCACCAATAATACTTTAAAGATAATACATTGTTTATGTGCTTTTACATCATATGACAAAAGTAAGCAACACTTTACATTTGTACTGTCGGCAAATGCTGTGCTTCTATTTATTCAGTATAGTCCTATTTTTAGAAAGGCTAAGGTTAAAGTCAGCAGCAAAAAAAATTTAATCTGCTTATTAATTCAGAGGAGGGGAGTTAAAAGAGGAAAAAAAGAGAAAAGGCAACTAAGACTCAGCTTCCAGAAACAGATAAGGTAACACTTGGCATGTCCCTAACAACCTGCACCAAGAGACAGGCTGCAGCCATGAAGTAAGATTTAAAAGCCTTTTACCTCAAATTGTCAACTTGGTAAATTTCCCGTTTGACATTTAGTGAACAAAATACTTAAGGAAACTCACTGAACTAGAATATGGATGGAAAAGATTCTTGTTGCTGCTTCCTCTTCTTTTTGTTCAGTTCAGAAGTAGCACTTTACATGTCTACTTTTAAGACTATTTTATCATTTGGATGTTACCTGTAAATTTTAGTCTCTCCAGAAAATTTGTGTGATTCCTCAGAATCTGGTATCATTTACAGAATGTAGTGTCTATTCCAAGTACACCGTGCATAAAAATTCACAAGAGTTTAGATAATCTCTCGGTAAGAAATTTTAAGAAATAAATTCTTACAATAGAGAAGAACAGAGGAATAATAAAAAAAGAAAGCACATTTTAATACAAAATCATTGTATACAACACAAACCAACTCCGAATGCAGGACAAAGGCAAGGAACTTTGAGGGAACAAAAAATCCGCCTTTTGACAAATTTTCTAATCCACATGTGGAAGGAGATCTGATAGGACATAGGAACAGAAAGCACGTATTACCTCGTCCCAGTTCTTCCAATTTTCTGTTCACAGCAAGCTTAACTCATATCCCTTAATCTGCCTTTAAAAGCACAACTGCCTGAGATGCAAGCAGAAAAGCTTCCACTCCTTCCATTTTGCTGTCTTATTTTAAAGAAGTTCATTGCATCTCTCCTTATACAAGGGAAAAGCTAGTCTCATACTGAATAAAAAGTGGGTTTTTTTCCCCACCCTCACACAGAAAAACATACTATTGAGAAACTTTCTTTCCTCTGACATCCATGAAAGCTAGTTTTGAAGATGGCCATTTCAATCACCACAGCTTGTCATTAATTTCTATGTCAAAACATTTCCTGGGAGCTTCAACATCTTTTCCAACTTGAAACCTTCTTCAGTGTAAATCCCCTCTTTACCTTTCCTCTCTTAGCTCCCCACACACAAGAAAAAGGAGAAAGAAAATTCAGCTATTTAATCAATTTCCTGAGCTGGCAGTAAAAATGGTTAATATGTAAAATAATCCAAAATTAACCTTGCGCCTCCTGTCGCAACTGGAGCTCTGAGAAAATGTGTTTGTGATCATCCACTAGGTGGGGCGTTCCTCAAGTTTATGCATCAAACCTGCTGCTTCTACTTTACACACTGCTTAGGCTTGGAAAGAAAATTTCATTTTCTGGGAAAAGGAGTGCAAGATGGTAAATGCAATAAAGCAAATTCGTAAGTATAAAATACCTAATGTTCATTAGAAGGGTTTGCTTCCGATGAAGAGAATCTCACAATTAAGCTGCTGCCCCCCCCCCCTTTTTTTTTTTTTTTTTAAACTTTAGTAATAAACAAATAGGAAAGTGCAAACTGCTTTTCTTCTGGAAGACACAAAAAAATTTATACTGTGCTGGCACTTAGGAATTTTCTTAAAGAATTCAGAGTTGATGTTTTTTCCAGCGAAGATTTTTCCCTGGTTTCTGAAAAAATAAACCAGCCAAACCTACCTGTATTAAATCTAGCTATGGAAAATAGTTTATGAATTATAGGAACTGTTGCATTGCAGGATAATATCAATATGTAGCCTGATAAATAGCATGCATTTCAAGAAAGATCTAAAAGGAAAAAAAACAAACCACAAAAACCATCACAATTCCTAAAGAGGCTTTTCAGTTAAAAGACCAAACGTAACTTGCTGCAGGAAAACATGCAGAGTGTGCTGGCAAGACTGCACTACAGTATCAGCTTTAAAAACGATGGGGGTAAAAGGGAGGAATTCATATTAGGAAATTGGATCTCCAGATTTGGTCTTACAAGTGCACATTTACTCTTAGCCAAAAGTTAACAAATGTAATGGGAATTGCTGGTAAAAATCATAACTACACCTCACTGGGAAAGCCATCGGGGAAACAATGTGCCCTTTAAAAATCAAAATCTCAAAAAGTCACAAGGGTGACTTGAGGTCCTGAAAGTCTTCCTCTCAGCAAGAGGCTAAGGGAGCTCATGTATTTCAGAGAAAAAT